TTGTATTTCTTTACATTTCAATGGATTATCGAATTAGTCTCGGCTTGTAATAATTGGTTTTACACAACACTTCAACGTTATCAAAATCAATTGAGTGTCCTTGTTGGCAAGCATGTTCTGCAACTGCCGACAGTTGTGTTTGAGAGTATTTAATATTTATTTGGTGTCCTCTTAGTCTTACGCTAATGTTACGTCCCGTCTATCCAATATTACATCTGCCACATAAGCAATTAATCCAATGCACACCTTCTGTTGATAACTTAGGCAATTAATCTTTAGTACAAAATACTTGTTTTTTTATGTTGTGTACCGTGCCAAATAAACAGAACGTGCCAAGTCGTCACTAGTACAGCACTAACCGGTTGTGTGTTGGAGAGCCAAGCCACAACATGGCTGTCGGGTGGTAGCGGCTTTTAACGACACATTCATATATTTACGCGATCTAACCAAAACATATCTATTATGGGTTTAACGACCCTTTGCCAAAATCAGAACCACAGTCTTCGATAGTTATATCTATGCTATTGTAGTAAAACCCAAAATTGCATGACAACAAATAACATGTGCATCAACGGTTAGTGGTTCAGTAAGTCTATTATCTGGTTGCGTGTGGTGGGGATAGGTGTGGGTACTCAAATCTCTTGCAAGGCATCATGTGAGTGGCATGGAAGAGCGGCCAAAATAAGATTTGGAGGTATTCTCTAGAGCTCCCTCTAGTGGAGGAGACATTTTAAATTACTGTACCTTTAATAAAACAATATAAAAGTATACAAACATTGTAATTAAGATCCGTCAAGGCATTTCCCTGTAAAATAATTAATACATTCAAGTTATAAAATCTCCCTCCAGATTGTATAAATATTGCATTGAGCAGAATTGTAATGAAGCTTCAAAACAGTTGCTTATTTTGATTTACTTATACATGAGGAAGCTCGTATACTGTCATGGAAAACGATATTGTAACTTTATATCCAGCAGATACATTACATTTAAACTTCAACTCTTATTAAATGCCATGGTTTATACCGTGTTCCCATCAAATACAAATCCTTACAATACAGTCAGCCTGTGGACAATATCTACCTTAATCCCACATGTAATTTATTGACTTGCGCGCATGCCGCGTAAGAATATTTATTTTAAAATAGCAAAGCAATCTTGTTTGCAGTGTTCATTAGCTTGTCTTTGAACGTACATGTGTTACACATGCATTGTATTTGTATACCTGTTATAAACTATAAGCATGCTATTGTCTGATGCACACCCACGCTTTCTAAAGGTCACAGCTTATTGCTTTTATGTCTGATTAGATGTATGCATTTACAGACCTGTTATTTTCAAATGTATTTGCCATCACTGAGGTTAATCTCCCACTCCCCATTGCACGTACTCTCAGAACAAAATATACCTCATCATCAACAGCGTCAACCTATCCACTGCTGGACGGAGGGCTTCCTAAGCTGTCGCCATCTCTCATGCTTTCACAATACAACACTCATAATGCAAGTCATCAATCTCCACAGTGAACATCCTCTTGGGCGGGCTCCCTTTTTTGGCTACCACTGCATGATTAGTCTTGACCACTAGCCATTATCCCGTAGAGCAACATGTCCTGCCCAAGCCCAATTACTTTTCTTAGCTTTCAATGTCTCTAATTTGTGTTTGGTTTCTGCCTCAGTGTAATCCCAGGCATGCACATTGCCATGCCTCTTAGCACTATTATCAGTTTTTGTTGCATTTTCTTTGTGAATGTCATACTATCCTGCTATGTCATTGCAGGGTAGTATGCATTCGTAAATTTTGTTAAATAATAGTTATGAGGATAAAGTATTGGAGAATACATGCATATGTGGACAATATACTGCTAGATAAACTTAGCGTACTCCTCTTCGCTCCCTGTGGAGCATAAGGCCACAACAAGCCCACGCCACGCCGGACGGTCTTTAGCAGCTTTCTCTGTTTCACCCAAGACAGGCGCCCCCCCCCCCCCCCATGGTCTTTAGTTGGTGTTGAATGGTGTGTCGCCAGGTGGTCTTTGGCCTGCCTCGTGGTATTTTCCCTTGTGGTGTCCACCATAGGGCAGTTTTCGCTATGGACTTGGATTCCATTCTCAGCACATGTCCCAGCCACCGGAGCCTTTTCTCTGTTATGTCCCCCTCCCCGCGTTATGCATCTTGAATTGGTCTTGATGTACAGGTTCCGGTTTTAAATCTTGTTTGTTCAGAATATACGACATATTTTTCTCAGGGAGTTGTTGTGGAAGTTTGATAGGGAGTTCACGTCCATCTTGGTGGTTCTCCAACTTTCACTATTGTATAGTAACACTGAATTTACATTGTTGTTATATATTCGTCCCTTTGTCTTTAAACTCTATTGGCCAGACTTCCAGATATTTTTCAGTTGTAAGGTGTCTTGCCTTGTTTAGCCTGGACTTGTAACTCTTGAGGTGGAGTTTTCTTTGCTTATTACAGCGTCAATGTATGTAAAACTATCAACCTGTTCCAGTGGTGTTCTCTTGATTGTTGTATTTGTTGTTGTTGTTGTGTTGATATTCATTTCTTGGGTCTTTTTTACATGTATCTAGTGGCCTAGTTAGAAGAGAGCAGAGCTATGTCATCTGTGAAATCAAGATCTTCGAGCACTGAGAAGGGGATCCACTGGCTTCCCCTTGGGAAGTCTCTTGTGGTGCGTCTCATAACCCAGTCAATGATAACCAGGAAGAGAATCGGGGAAAGAATGCATATTTGGTGTGCCCCTGACGTAACGAGGAACCAGTCTGAGGTAGCGTTGTTGACCAGGATGGCACATTCAAATTCTTCAAAGAAGCTCTTGATCAGCTCAATGAGTTTTAGTGGGATGTCATATGTCAGTAAGATCTTCCAAAGACTGTCTCGGTGTATGCTATGAAAAACTTTCTTAAAGTCGATTAAATTTAGGTATCGTGGGGCTTTCCATTGCAGGCACTGCTCTATGATAATGCGTAGAGTGAATATGTGGTCCATGCAGCCTCTCCCTTTTCTAAGACCAGCTTGCTCGTTCCGCATGGTCTGGTCAAGGGCACTGTTAATCCTGTTGAACAGGATTTTGCAGAAGGCCTTATCTAGGAAGCGAAAGGAGTGTAATTCCTCGCCAGTTGTCGCAGTTTCCAAGCTCTCCTTTTTGGGAAGTCTCACGATTAGGCCTTTGTGAAGTCCTTGGGAATGCTGTCACTCTCCAATGTGCGTTGGAACAGGTCTGTAAGTGAATATGCCGTGGTCTGTGAATCAGCTTTGAGCATCTCAGCATGGATGGTGTCAATGCCTGGAGCCTTTCCTGATTTCATTGTGGATATGGCCTTGTTGACCTCTTCGTTGGTTGCGGGGGTCTGAATTAATTCGTCTATTTAAGACGGTGTTAAAATGCTCAACGCATCTTTCTGCCTGGGCTTTCTCAGTGGCGATGGTCTTGCCTTTGACTGGTGGAGTTGACTTCTTGTTCCGCAAAGTTATTTTGTCATTTTGTAGACTGTGCTCATGTCCCCTACAACCACTGCCTCCTCAACAAGTTTAGCTTTGTTTTCAATGTGAGCTCTTTTATCAGCTCTTGATTTCATTTTGACTACTTTGTCCAATGTTTTGTATGCAATTTTCGTTTTTTCCTTTAACCGAGAAGATTGAGTGTTGAGCAGGTTTCCTTTTTCCTTAGATCTTTCTTCAATTGCATTCCAGGTGGAGTAGGTCAACCATGGCTTTGAGTTCTTCTTTTTGTATCCTATAGTTTCCTTGCTTGACTCTTTGTAGGATTTCTTGATGTCAAATTTATCCTACACTAGGTTTTCCTCTGTGATGTTGAGATCTTGAAGTGCTTTGAACCAGTTCCTGAGTTCTAGCTTGAACTTCTGTTTTAGTTCTGGGTTTTTAAGTCTTTTGCTGTCCAATCTCTTTCGTACTGGTTTTTAGTCTTGTGTTTTCTTCAGCTTAAGTCTGATCCTTGCGATGATGAGATGGTGGTCGCTATACACGTTTTCCCCCCTATGTGCTCTCATATCCAAAAGTGACTTCCTCCACTTGCCATTTATGAGAATGTGATCAATTTTATTTTGATCTCTTCCATTGGAGATGTCCATGTTAACTTGTGATTGTTTTTATGTTGAAAAATAGTCCCTCCAATTACCAGACCGTTTAATGAGCAAAAGTTGGCAAGTCTTTCGCCGTTTTCATTCGTTTATCCATATCCGTGTTTGCCCATGTTCTGTTTGTGGTTTGAGTTGTCATTCCCCACTTTGGTCTCCAGTAATAAGTAGCATGTCATGATGTGGTGTCCGGAAGGGCAGTGTTTTCAAGGCTTTATAGTATGCATCCTGTTTTTTTCTTCTGCGTCATTTGTTTGTGCATAGCACTGAATAATTGTTAGTTTGCAGAAATTAGAGTTGAAGCGTGCTCTGATGAGTCTCTTGCTAACTGGTTCCCATTCTATGAGTGATTTTGCATGGTTCTTGGATATGATAATGGCCACTCCCTCTGTGTGTTTGTCGTCCTTCCTGCCAGAGTGAAGGATGATGTATCCACTCTGATGAAATTATCCTACCTGATCCAGTCCAGTGACACTCGCTCACTTCGAAGACGTCAATTTGGTAGTGTATCATCTCGTGGACAACTTGGGCCATCTTGCACGTCTGGTACATGAAAAGTACGTTCCAGGCTCCAGCCTTGATGTTGTGCTTTGGATCTAGGAGGCCCCCTTTCACCTTTCCAACATCCCTCTGAGGGTTTTGATTGGAGAGGGTCATCTTGCCAGTTCCGTGGCTTGGTGCTTCCTAGTGGTCCTGTATTGAATATGTTCTTGCTGCAGTTTACATTACAATTCAGTTTTTTCCGGGGTGGGGTTGTTAGCCCCACACCAAACCCCCAACCTGGAGGACCAGGGATTGTCCATTTCCTCTGTCCTCTACCCTTTGACCAGTCCGGCATGGTTGGACCTGCTGGGAGCCTAAAGCTCCTGCCAGCTTTGCTCTCTGGGTCATGGAGGCATACAAGCTTCTCTACCACGACAAGGCGACAACCCATGAGAGAAGACTGCTAGATGAAGGTTTTCCCAAACTGTCGCGTTCCTTCAAGGTCCCACAAAATGCCACACAGCCAATCTAGCTCCTGCAAATAATATGATCTCATCACTCAATCTCTGCGGTGGACACATTCCGTGCATGTAAAAAAGTGTATTGATAAGTATAGAACAATACTTACCTAAGGCATTTCAAAATATAATTATACAAATGTCATAATAGTAAGGGTTCTCAATTCTTAAACTTATATTTCCCATCATTTCGAAAGTACATGTTTATTATGATACACTGCTAATTATTCACAATACTGTAATTGTACATTTGCAGATATCTGCTGATTGTTGAATGTGGAAATCTGGGCCAAATGAGGTTTAAAGGCTGGAGTTTAAGAACCGCCGATTTTTACTAAAGGTTCTACACAAATGGCAAGCACAGCATGTCATGCCAGTGAGATAAATTGGGATTACAACGGTTGGTGAAAAGGACGTTTCTCTGCTAAACGGCGCAGGTGTCATGTTTTGACATATAGTGATGGTTTAAAATATAAGGTCGGTGCTTTTTCTGTAACATTTTATTATGAGGAGTATTTTTAGCTCTCAGCTTGACATCCATCCGATCTAGGAAGGTTGCCATATGACTACACATAAATGACCAATCTTCTAAGAAATCACTTAGCCTTTTAAAACATGCGTGCAACGGAGCTCATCTGTATTAAGAAGACAAATGTTGCCTAGATTTACTATAACATGTGTCATTTATAATAAATATTCCATAAAATATGTATAAGTATGATTGTTCTGCTTGTCTCATATTCATTTGAGACAGCAGAGCGCAGCACCTATTTACAGGAAGGTGCCACCTAGAAAACAAATATTGAGCACAGACACTGTTTTCCTTAAAAGTCAGAGATACTATTTTTTTATATATTTAGCTCAAGTATCACCTATTGGTATGGGAATGGTGCAGTGGTTAGCACAGTGGTGCAATTAATTTATTTACCAACCTGCAGTGATCAGCGTGGCAACTATTTCTATCTGGCCATTCCAATTTTTTGCCAGCACAATACACAATAAATATTTGCCAATGAGGCGAACTAGTTAACCGAGCAGAGTTGTACACTATATGACAGTGTATTGAAGACCTGCTCTTTAGTTGTCTCAGCGTGAAGTGTTCTGAGAAAGTGTAATAAAAGATCACCGTGATGCTGTTTCAGACAAGCGACAGAGGAAGGTGCTGCCTGTTTGTGTATTGAGTATAGTGAAATATAATGCAGGATACAATAAATATACCACTATTTATTATCCACCCTTTCCCGGTCAAGTGAAGCAATTTAGATTAAATATATACTACCGAATGCAGTGATCGTAAACGTTAAACATTTTTTGACACATTCAATGCGTGAACACTGCCATCTTGTGGTTGCAAGACGAATATTTAAAGATGGTTGTGGTTTAAGCAAGAATTAAAGTGAATGTGCTGATGAGTATTGAGAGATTTTTGATTGACAAAGCTTGTGAGATGACAATAGTAATAATGACATTACACCACTTTGTGATTGGGAACATGTTTCCATTTTCACGAATAGCATTTATCGTGACTTGTGCATCCAGAAGTGGATTTGCAAAGAGCTGCAAATTGTTAAATATGTAGTGTACACACGAGTTGAGTTGGCAGGCATCAGAATTGACAAGTGATGCAATTAAAAGATTTGGCCATATGTAAGCACAGCTTTCAATGCAAGGTTATAGAGGGGTGTTAAGGGGATGCATAACGTCATGTGCACACTTTTGTTGATATTGAGGTTACCGTAATTGCAAATATATTTGCAAATTATTGTTGTTTACTAGTCATACTACCTGTTTTACTGCCATATTAGGTGGTCAATATTTACTTGAAGACTAACACGATTCTCACTGTACAGTATTTTAAAATTCTATAGCAGTGTAAGCAAGTCTCAAACGAGTCACTGTATACCATTTTTTATTTCTATACTTTATTTATTATGGCAACTGTATTTCGTTTAACTGTATTAAAGTAGAATACATTCACATTTTAATAACCGTGCATATTAATTCTCAATATTACTCTGTGAATGAATATTTGTTGGTATGGCCTCGTAAATGTTTAGGCATATAGTGCATAACTATTCACCACTAGAGTTGGGACGGTGAGTCGCCCAAGGTAATGACTCGACTAACATTTGTAACATTTGTAACAGACTAATTGTGTGTGCTTAACTAGGGTCTCTTCGTAGCAGTGACGTGCGGTGAGGTCAATGGCTGAGTAGGAGGCACTGGCTAGTGTTAGAGCCAGATTCACACACTGAGGGGGGCGTTGCCTCACCGAGACCAGCGAACTTAAATATCTTAATACACATATGTGAAATAAGTCACCTGGAGTATGGAAGGCGAGGACATGAAATTAAGGGGTCTACAAACATCACATTGGTGACATACTGAGATAGTAACAGGCACGCGCTTATTGCCCGCGCTCCATCCAGTTACTGAGGGTTGCGCAATCAGAGGGGAGGCAGAGCTCGTCGCTGCCTCACCTCTCGCCTCTTTCTGTTTGCAGCGGAGCTCCGCAAATTTGGCGATTTTGACTATAAAAATGATTTGAATCGTACAGAAATGACATTTATAACACAGATCAGTGGGAAATCTTCATATTTATTTCATTAGATTATTCTTTTTTATTTTTCGTAATAGCAATTTTTAATTGTAGTATGGCAGGGGAGGCAGAAGCAGAGCCTCCCCTGCTGCTTTAAATGTCCACGTGATAAGCCACTTCGTTGAGCTATCATTTGTGGCCAGGTCGTTTCTAAAATAAGACTTATACATCTCAGTAGACATTACCTGGTAAAACAATATATATTACGTACATGGAAAAATCGATATACCATTAGAATCTTTAAAATTGAGATTAAAATTGAAATCTTTAAAATTGTAAACTATTTAATTAAGGACCGCCCCCATCCCTTTCCTCAGTGCACGCGGTCCATCACCACGGAGACCGCAGTCCGCGCCGCTGATTGGCCGAACTACCAACCAATCACAGCACGGCCTAATTTCCGCAACATAACTTTTTTTCATTTTCACTTAAAATATAAATCTTTGAACTAATAAATCAAAACACTTACAAAAACTATACCGTAAGGGCACACATAATACTTAATAAAAATGCGTTTAAAACTAATTATATTTTAAGATCTTGTTTGGTGATGACGTCACCCGCGCGCATTCATTCCGCGTACAGTGCGCGCACTGTCCGCACGTCCCCATCGGAGGCGACGCGCGCTCCGCCTCAGGAGGGCCGCCTGCAAATTAACGCAAAATCCTCCACAAACGGAATAGAATTCAACATGCAGCAGCCGTCGGAGCACGACATGGGGGAGCAGAGCGGGCGAACGGACCTGCCAAATGGGCTGCACCGCTGCCGCAGTCACCGCCTGCCGAGCGTCAGCTTGGAGGACGCGGCGGCGGCGGCGACGGCGGCGGCGACCGCCGGGAGCAGCACCGACGATGCGGGCGCGGCGCGGAGGCTCCGGGATCCCCTCTCGCCTCGCCGCGCTCCCCCCTCGCCTCGCCCTGCTCGCCCAGCAAGATCCCGCGCTGCTGCGCCGCCACGCGCAAGCGCCTCGACTCGCTGCGCCGTGGGAGGCCGCGTAAGTGGTGGAGCGAAAGTGAGGTGGTGGAGCGAGAGTGGTGGTGAGGTGCTCACGGTGGAGCGAGAGTGGTGGTGAGGTGCTCATGGTGGAGCGAGAGTGGTGGTGAGGTGCTCACGGTGGAGCGAGAGTGGTGGTGAGGTGCTCAGGTGGAGCGAGAGTGGTGGTGAGGTGCTCATGGTGGAGCGAGAGTGGTGGTGAGGTGCTCATGGTGGAGCGAGAGTGGTGGTGAGGTGCTCATGGTGGAGCGAGAGTGGTGGTGAGGTGCTCATGGTGGAGCGAGAGTGGTGGTGAGGTGGTGAATGGGGTGCTGAAGAGAAATGCAGTCGTGATGGGGGGTGGGCATCGGGTGACTTGGGGTGGCAATGGAGTATTAATTGGCAATTTAGTGGCACTGGAGGGGATGATTTGAGTGGAGGCAACGTTGTTGGGTGGTCAATTGCGTTTTGGGGATAGTGGAAGGATTTGTTGGGCTGGTGGGGAAGGGAGTGGGTGTGTTTTTGCTTTAGTATCTTCAACAAATGCTGACATATAACTGAAAACAACGTATAAATCACAGTGTCTCCATGCTCAAAATGAGCAAAGGAGTTGGCACTAATCGTCATTAGGTTATGGAAAGTATTCCCATATCGCTCCGAGTGTGTGGGGGTGTGTCTTGACGTCCCATCAAGTACGAATATCGACCCATGAAAGGTGATGCGCCAAGGTGACCCTTGGCAGATATTTGAAAACGTGACCTTTCGATTGAGGACTAACCGCAGGGCCCCGCTGCCGAATATAAACAATGTAAACAATATAAACAATGCATTGGTAAGTATGTTAAGGGTAAGAGTCAATGTTTGCAAAATCAATGTATAAGCCCAGATTCATATTATTGGGTCTTTCGGTAAAGTCACGTAGATAGGTTCAAAGAAAATAACAAAAAACTAAGACGTTTCGATCGCAACACAAGCGGTCGTCTTCAGGAAGAACCTGGGCTTAGACATTGATTTTGCAAATAGTGACTCTTACCCCTTAACAAGCGGTCGTCTTCCTGAAGACGTTGCGATCGAAACGTCGTAGTTTTTTTGTTATTTTCTTTGAACCTATCTACGTGACTTTACCGAAAGACCCCATAATATGAAATCCTGCAGTCACGAAAGCTTTAAGTCAAGATTGTATTTGCATTCTCACCACAAGTATTGTGGTTAATGCAGACATGATTCCTTGTAAAAGGTTTCAGTTTGGTGTTTTAACATCTTAACACCTGTTTAAAGCTTTCGTGACTGCATGGATTCATCTTCTTGGTTCTTTCTGTAAAGTCACATAATCATGTATTTTATTATGTTTTATTTTTGTTATTTTATTATTTACCTTCTACGTGACTTTACAGAAAGAACCAAGAATATCTTAATACTTGTTTTGTTGCCATAAAAAAGGGGGAAACTTATTCCCATAATGGTTAAGGGTTTAGATATTTTGTCTGCGTATACTGCATATGCACTCTGTAAAGCTTTTCCATATAATACAGTGCAGCTCCAAATGCTTGTTTATGGATGGATTATCAATTGGTAATACATCGTCGTTTAGTGTTCTTTCTTCATCAATGTTGTAAATTGCCGATGGACGGACTTTGTAGCCTATTGATGAAGTGACTCAATATTGAGCCATACATTATAAACACACACCAGGCTCTTTATCCTCAAAAGTATACATTTACATTTAGTTCATTGGCCTCTTGGCCCTCTTAGTCAATATTTTCCAGCATCATTTGTGATTTACTTTCCAATGTTTATTATTTACCACAGATATCCCAAGTAAGCATTTAATATTATTCATAATTGAGCCAGTTTCACAGTTCGATAGCTATAGACAGTTGCACGTGGATTCGATTCAAGCGTGCAGACTGTTATGCACTTAAAGTAATCAAAATGTCCATGAGTTGATTATTTAGCATGTTTCATGGAGTATGTTTCATGGGTTAACCTTAACCACCCCTTCCACCTTGGTTTTTAATGCAACTGTCATTGCTTTCGTTGCCTTTTTCGCCATCGTGTGTTTTAATAGTGATACTACTAAAGCACAGCATTTCTCTGATTTTGAAGGACTTTGCACGGGGTGGTGGTGTGCACATTAAAGTGTATTGAACAATCCTTGGCTTCATTGACAGTTGATCAAACTTGGCAATGCAATACATTTCCCCCCGTGTATAAGGATTAATTTATATCTATCATTGTTTATGCTGAGTGTACTGTCTGGATGATTACCTTTGTGCTGACATCAACAATAACAACCCGTTTTTCTGCTCTCGAGTTGTGCCGTGATGGCAGACATTGACCTCATATCAAATTGACTTTCCTTTTAATAATATTTTTAAGGTAGCATTTATGAATTGCCATTGTTTTGTTCTTTAAATAACCATCAGATCACCCTTTGTACATGTATGTGTGTTGAACTTCTTTCGAACCGTACCTAGACACCCATGCTAATTGGAGGTACATGTGTGTATGTAGTCTGCTGTACTCCATTCCAGATATTCACGAGAGTGTCTCTCAGAAAGCATATAGGCCAGAGTAATAATTTTCAAAAAAAATACATGATAACATTGTTATTTGTAAAAACCCACATTATTCTAAACTCTGCTATATAATGAGGGGTGGAGAGGTGGCGCAGTCGGTAGGACACTGCGATATGAACTCTGCTACCTGTTAGCTAAGACTAACGACAGGAAGGGGTGAGTAAAATATCTGAACTGGTGCTGAGTGCCTTCTCTACCAGCCCAAGTGGCCTGCATGGTGAATTTGGTCAAACAAGTCCCACAACAAACACTGTTCTAGTACCTGACTCTATGATATTGTATTTTATTAGCAATATCATTGCTATAGCTTTCAAGTACTTTTGTATGCAATTATTAATTGTTTTTACCGATTTCAACAAGTTTTGAAAAGTAAATTGGCCAAATGTATTGATGTACGCAGAAGCCTTCTTGTGATGGATATTGGATTATTAAAATGGTTTCAAAATTAAACAATGAATCTATTGTTTTTTGCAGAAAACCTTAATACTTATGTAATGAGCGACTTCCGAGACACAACGTGTAGAGGGCTTCCTATTTATTTCTCACACTTGGACACAAACACTGGGCGATATATATAAACATAGCTCCACACAGCCGACCTTTTTACACAGCCCCATCGTCGGCGTCTAACTACATAGCTGGTTGACTAATGTAGCGATGACGACGATGGGAGCCGTGCAGAGGATCGGCCATGCGGCCGGACGACGAAGAGAGATGACGGCGAGCAACGACGCAGCCAGGAGCCGGGACCCCGTGACAGCCCCGAACCTTCATTTACGTCCCCCCTATACACTTCCCGGCGTGGCCAGGCCCCGCCTCCGGCCACGCCCCGTTCTAGAGCCTTTGAGCAGGTTCCCGGAGCTTCCCGACTGACACCGCCCTTGACGTTTAACCCAGACACGCCCCCTTCTAGTTGTTATTATATAACGCGGCCATACCCGTGATTACCCCTCCTGGCCGACAGGTGGCATCCTGTCATTACACTTACATACCAGCTGAAAACTTAAACATGTCACTTGAGCAGTTCTAAGTCTTTTGATGTTACTTCGTACACAAAATCATGATGTTGTGCAGTACATGTGTATTTGTCAAGACCACTACCATTTACAAAGTAGTTTAATCAAAATTTCAAAGCCATTTGTGCTCATTTGAATACGGTAGTCTTGAGTTTGTGCATAAAGAGCATCAGTGATGCTAGCGTTTTGGCAGTGAGTGATCAAAGCTTATTGGTATTGCCGATGTCTGAATTAAGATACATTTTCTTTACAGATTTCACATTTTTGCGCATAAATATTTCAATACAAGTTACATTGACCATTTTTACAGTCCAAGATCTTTCACTTAAAAGGTTTATTTATGTTTACTTGTGATGCCTATAAAATATATAATACTATAAACGTTTCATATGTATTGCACCCAGGTCAACCAAAAAAAAACAGAAACCACTACCACAAAGATGTAGTTAATGGTGCATTGCACATCAACCTAATGCTTGCATAATTTACATAAATAATTTACGTGTGATTGAGCATGTTTTTTGAGTGTTAACGCTTGTATAAAATTGCTTACGAAAGCTAAAATGAGCACTGCCTGAGAATATCTTGTTGTATACAGACTGTAATAGGGAGTTTGTGGTACACAGGACTGTATTTAACTGCCCTATAATGTCTAGAATGAAATTAATTCTCAATGCCATAATTTTACTGCTGCAAACCCAAGCAAGCTATGTCTGTAAGTGTGACCTTTAAACTATGATTACTACAAGTGGGCCTTTTTCCAGCGTGCAGGTATAAACCTCCATGTAAGTGTAATGTCATAACAACAATACCCTGTTAAATTTTGTTTTACGCTGATAGAATTAATGTATCCACAGAGACTCTTGAAGCCTTTGTGTAGAGTTGATGATTATGAAAAAACTAAAGTTTTGACTCACAGCAGCGGTGGTGTCCTTGAAAACTCGCGTAACCTTGACCGATAAATGTTGCCATATCATGTCACCCTTTAGTTGGATAAATACTTTAATAACTTACACACTCAAACCAAACAAGCACTTTTCCCCATCATATATAATACTGTAACTTAATTCTAAACAAAATTGTACATATATTACAAAAAGTATGTTATCGTTCTTTTCATCCCTTTGTCGATTCACTGCTGGATGAAGAACTCACATCATGGGGGGGTTTTGACCATATTTCACCACATTGGTCATTGCAGGTTGGTGAAAGGGTGGGAACTCAGAACCATATTCTTGGTTCTTTCGGTAAAGTCACGTAGAAGGGAAATAATAAAATAATAAAAATATTAAACAGTAAAATTCTCACGACGTTTCGATTTGCTGTGGATTTCACACCTGATGATGATTGCTTGTGTTGCAGTCGAAACGTTGTGAGAATTGAATTGTTTTATATTTTTATTATTTTATGATTTCCCTTCTACGTGACTTTACCGAAAGAACCAAGAATATGAATCCCTGCAGTCACGAAAACTTTAAATCAAAATTTAACTCAAGTCTTTAGGATAATTGTGCAGTGTATAAATACACTGCTCTGGCACTCCACCTTTATGTATCGTATTGGTTGATAAAGACATTGCATCAAGCTATCATAATGGTTATTTGTCTAAATTAGATCAATTTATAAATAGATGCATGTGTGCAACAAAGGCTAAACTTCCAGTTCAAACAATGCGAGTTAACCTTTGGTCCAGAAGACTGTTATGTTGGATGATGTATTGCATGGCAGCATAGCTTGCCTATAAGTAGTGCCTGTACTTAAATTCAAGGTTAACTGGTCAGAAACCTAATACTGACTCTCATGGCCATTTGATGGGCACAACAGCACAGAGTACAAAGCGTCCTATGCTTGGAAAGAGAGGCCTCTGCAATGGCTGCTTCCCAATTATACATGCTAACGGTCCCAGAATATGTACAACTTTTAAATACTGTTGAAGTTTACCTGCATATTGGTTCAAACTGCGTTTTGCTGAGTGACTGGTGATGCCAGTTTAACTATTGCTTGCCATGTAGGTGAAGATAGAGTCTAGCTGACACGCAATTTTAATGGCAATGATTTAACAATGTTACGCTGCATTCCCACAGCGACTAGATACCAGACCCAAGCCATGTTTTGCCTCTTCCTGGAATGGCGAGATGTTAAATACCTCCGCTGGTATACAGGAGGTGGTATGTTCAATCTCGACCTTGACGCCTGTATATTTGGAGTTTGGATATTTTCCCTTAGGCTGCGTGGATTTTCCATCTTGACCCCTAAACTTCATTACTGTTTCTAAGGGTGGCCAGGCTGAAAATCAGGTACAGTGAGGGAAAAAGTATTTGATCCCCTGCTGATTTTGTACGTTTGCCCACTGACAAAGAAATGATCAGTCTATAATTTTAATGGTAGGTTTATTTGAACAGTGAGAGACAGAATAACAACAACAAAATCCAGAAAAACGCATGTCAAAAATGTTATAAATTGATTTGCATTTTAATGAGGGAAATAAGTATTTGACCCCTCTGCAAAACATGACTTAGTACTTGGTGGCAAAACCCTTGTTGGCAATCACAGAGGTCAGACGTTTCTTGTAGTTGGCCACCAGGTTTGCACACATCTCAGGAGGGATTTTGTCCCACTCCTCTTTGCAGATCTTCTCCAAGTCATTAAGGTTTCGAGGCTGACGTTTGGCAACTCGAACCTTCAGCTCCCTCCACAGATTTTCTATGGGATTAAGGTCTGGAGACTGGCTAGGCCACTCCAGGACCTTAATGTGCTTCTTCTTGAGCCACTCCTTTGTTGCCTTGGCCGTGTGTTTTGGGTCATTGTCATGCTGGAATACCCATCCACGACCCATTTTCAATGCCCTGGCTGAGGGAAGGAGGTTCTCACCCAAGATTTGACGGTACATGGCCCCGTCCATCGTCCCTTTGATGCGGTGAAGTTGTCCTGTCCCCTTAGCAGAAAAACACCCCCAAAGCATAATGTTTCCACCTCCATGTTTGACGGTGGGGATGGTGTTCTTGGGGTCATAGGCAGCATTCCTCCTCCAAACACGGCGAGTTGAGTTGATGCCAAAGAGCTCCATTTTGGTCTCATCTGACCACAACACTTTCACCCAGTTGTCCTCTGAATCATTCAGATGTTCATTGGCAAACTTCAGACGGGCATGTATATGTGCTTTCTTGAGCAGGGGGACCTTGCGGGCGCTGCAGGATTTCAGTCCTTCACGGCGTAGTGTGTTACCAACTGTTTTCTTGGTGACTATGGTCCCAGCTGCCTTGAGATCATTGACAAGATCCTCCCGTGTAGTTCTGGGCTGATTCCTCACCGTTCTCATGATCATTGCAACTCCACGAGGTGAGATCTTGCATGGAGCCCCAGGCCGAGGGAGATTGACAGTTCTTTTGTGTTTCTTCCATTTGCGAATAATCGCACCAACTGTTGTCACCTTCTCACCAAGCTGCTTGGCGATGGTCTTGTAGCCCATTCCAGCCTTGTGTAGGTCTACAATCTTGTCCCTGACATCCTTGGAGAGCTCTTTGGTCTTGGCCATGGTGGAGAGTTTGGAATCTGATTGATTGATTGCTTCTGTGAACAGGTGTCTTTTATACAGGTAACAAGCTGAGATTAGGAGCACTCCCTTTAAGAGTGTGCTCCTAATCTCAGCTCGTTACCTGTATTATAGACTGATCGTTTCTTTGTCAGTGGGCAAACGTACAAAATCAGCAGGGGATCAAATACTTCTTTCCCTCACTGTAACTCCTATAACCAAATAAGCCACTCGGCACAGGTAATGCGAGGCATATGATCCCTTGTACAGCTCACAGGCTGCCATGTGAATCCTGAAGCAGTGGAATGGATATCAAATATCGTCATCATTTTGTTATCTGTTGCAATCCCCCAAAATGCCATACGAAAAAAGAATAGTTGATGAAACGACATAGAAACAATGTAATGCTACATTGAAACAATATATTTAGCCCATGTTTTACATTCGTAAGCATTTACATATTTATGTTCATTTAATCTGTACCCAACTAACAAACTTGTTTTTCAAATTATTGTTGGTAAACATGCCCATTCTATAATTAGTTTTATGCTTTTTTGAGATAATTTCACATTGAGTCGAGCACGTGTATAAATCGAGGGGGGTTTCCTTCTCCAGTGAGTTGTTGGGCAACATCCTAATCACTTGCAGAGTAGATATGCTAATAACTACCTTGTGTCTGTTCTCGTGTCATGGTTCGACGACTTTTTCTCACAAGAGTAGCACTTTATTGGTATCTCAAGTGATCTCGATGGTGGAGGATGGCCATCTATACATCGCCTGAAGTTACGCTTGGCGTAACACGTATTATTTACTGGTCAAGATGTCAATCAGCTTGTTGGACAAAAGGCATTTTAATGTAAAACATCACTGGAAGGATTTATGTCAGGTGCTTTCACGTTTTAAATTTGTAATGTAGCATATATGACATTGCAGTAAATAAAATAAAGACGTTTTAATGGGTTAAATGAGTCATGAGCATATATATTAAAAGGCTATATTACTAATGCACACAGCAGCTGGGTGGCAACTGATTTTGACAGGGACGCTGGATTGTTGGTAGGCAGTGGACTGCTGAAAACTCTGGAGAGCTTACCCTTCACAGGATTGCTTCCAGTCTATTTCACCTAATACTTGCCACGAGCATTTGTTGCAACTCAAATAAAAACTCTCGCTTTGTGTAAAATAGAACATATTATCAGTGGTATTGCCAAATTTCACGTAGTCTTTGGGCAACTATGGCATCGCTCGCTTGTTAAGTCGCACATGGTGAAGTGACCACCCTGTTGTCGGCAGCGTTCCCGTGGTTTGGCCTGGACATTGGTGGCACGCTTGTCAAGCTGGTGTACTTTGAGCCGAAGGACATCACGGCCGAGGAGGAAGAGGAGGAGGTGGAGAGCCTGAAGAGTATCCGGCACTACCTGACATCGCACGTTGCCTACGGCCAGACGGGCGTACGCGACGTGCATCTGGAGTTGCATGGCCTTACCATGTGCGGCCGGACGGGTAGCCTGCACTTCATCCGTTTCCCAACGGTTGACATGCCGGCCTTCCTGGCCATGGGTCGGGACAAGCACTTCTCCAGCCTGCACACCGCACTCTGCGCCACGGGAGGGGCGCCTACAAGTTTGAGCTTGACTTCCGCACGGTATGAGCAATGCAGGGGACTGGCTGTGTGGGAGAGTGTGTTTTTTACAGATACATTTTACAAGTCTTACCCAGACAAATAGGGATGTCACGATGCATCGATTTATAATTGACATGAATTCTTCCAGCTCGTGATCCATACATCACTTTTGTAAAATCAACATTTATCAATTGTGTATGTTGAATGAAATGAGAGTATGTGATCCCTTCCAGCCACTGGAGGCTGCTATATTCACTACAATACTGAAATAAATGTGATTCTTAAAGTGAATCACGACTCTTAATTGTGGATATTCAGCGATTGACCTCTTAAATATTAATTGTACAGACACCGTTTGGGAAAACTCAATTGTAAACAAGTAGATGTGAAGTTCAATAAAAACACACTTTTTTCATAAATGTTTAATGTAAGAAAAATATTTTAGCTCAGTAGTTGCATGTGTATATATTACTTAGGATGTTTTGTACATATTTAAAATGTCTTGCATACCAGTGAGCACTCAACAACAGGGGGATGTTGCAAAATTGGTCAAACCTAAAGAAGTTTTGCAGCAACCAATAAATTGCGTGAAAAACACCTTTAAAAAAAATCATAACTTTATGTTGAACATCATGCAACAAAAGCAGGACATAATATAACAAAATATGGAGAATGTTGCTAAAACTTCAAAAAAAATATTCCTATATGTGTAATCCCTAAAGTAGAATGATTAGGAATAGGAGTGCAAATACCATACAGAAATAAATAGTGCAATTAATGTCCATAAACTGTCGAGCATTTCCGTAACCTTCCCTATTGGTTCCTACTCCCATGTTGAGGACTCGGCCTGCCAAACTGACCAATTCATCCCATTCATGTTGTGTGCCGCCACCAAACTGCACTTTCCCTTACTACTTAATTCCTCTCACTGCTCGACTTTGGAATTCCCTCCCATAATTTTGTTCCCAAATCCTTATAACCTTACTAAATGCAAGGAATGTCGTAACTGCCATCTATTATAGTTTAATATGTCATGTGTGTTGCTGCTGGCGTTTTTTTGAGCCTTTGGGCTCATCTCCAGAGAATGTGGTAAAAAACAAAAATTTGATGCAAGAATAGTGGGGCTCTTGCAATGCCACGCTGGCGTGATGTTATTATTCCTCGTTTGGTATGCAAGAAGTTGTGGGTTTGATCCCGACCCGGACGCCTGTATATTTGGAGTTTGCACGTCTCTCTCCCCATTGGTCATATGGATTTTTCTTTGGGTCATCCGGTTTTTCCCTCACTTTAGAATCAACATACATTTAGTATTTGGCTGCAACAAATGTCCACATAAGCGCCTTAGTTGAGATGTCATTTGTGGCCAGATTTCTTGTGAAAAATATCTATATAGCTGAGTGGGTCTTACCTGGTCAAATAAAAATAGTTTATGGTTCCAAACAGCACTGGCAGCAGCAGCAGTAAGCACTGGGCTCTCGCTTCCACTAGATGGCCGAGCTGCAGCTGCGCAAGCTGGACGAGCTCGACTGCCTCATCCAGGGCGTGCACTACATCGACTCGGTGGGCTTCAATGGCGTAGCCGAGTGCTACTACTTCTCAAACCCCACGGAGCGCGAGCGCTGCCAAAAGACCCCCTTTGTGCTGGGGGACCTGTACCCCCTGCTGCTCGTGAACATCGGCTCGGGCGTCAGCATCCTGGCCGTGCATTCGCCCAACAATTACAAGCGCGTCACCGGCACGAGGTGCATCCCCTTGTCCTGTGCTATCATATCCAAGGTCTTGGTACGTGGTATGGTTGGTTTTTCCAATCCGCTGCTGGATGAGGGGCCTCCCCTTGCGTCATGAGTCGTGATGGATATTTAGCCATGCTTCACCACGCTGGTCAGTGTGACTTAATGGGAGTAGTGGGAGTGCAGTGCGAGTGATTCTGCTGCACTGCTGTTTACCGCTTTTGGACATTGTGGTCACTCATCCAAGCAGTGTGCAGATGACTCGACCTGACTTAGTGTCTCTATTCTGGGTGATTTGGTCATAGGTCCAGGTATTTCATAGGTGGTAGTTATTGAGTGAATACACATAGGGCAGTTGGAAATATGGATATTCACGAGAAGGATATCACTTGGATGAGTGGCCCTCATGCATAGAACAGGTATTATAGGCTGCTGCAGGTCTACATTGTCATCAGAAATGAGTGCAAAATCCATTGTACTTATTATTCTCCAATCGTCTATAGCGATCCTTTAAACATGACTGCTTTTGTTGTTGCTGCCCTATTCGCTCTTGCAGCCTGGGAGGCGGCACGTTCCTGGGGCTCAGCTGCCTGCTGACGGGGTGCAAAACGTTTGAGGAGGCACTGTCCCTTGCCGAGAGAGGGGACAGCACCAACGTGGACAAGCTCGTGCGAGACATCTATGGAGGCGACTACGGTCGCTTTGGCCTTCCCGGCTCTACTGTAGCTTCCAGGTGGGTTCATTGGCTGCCCTGGGTAAGTCTAATTGTCGTAGCAATGTCTTGTGCTAGCGGTGTACAACTGGAGCCATGAAGGGGTGCCATCCTACAGGTTTTATTGATAACTTGAAATCTCCAAATGCTTGACCACCTGCGTTGAGGGTTTTGATTAAGTAATTCAGAGCTCAGTCGGACCAAAATACCAGAAGGCAATTGTGGCCCTCGATAAGTGTAATTGTACACTCCTGGTTTCGTGTGCAGAGTCTGGGATATCAATACGGTTTTAAAAAATCAGGACATTGGGGGATATTAGCCATGACTTTTTATAAGCTACATAGTCTCGGGTATTTTCTCTGCAATCTCATGGTTCAATTACCAACAACCACTCTCGATATATATTAATTGGACTCCAGTGTACAGGTTTCACTTGATGACTTGGTTCAGGTCAGGGATATTGACTAGCAGTGTGAAAGACCTATAAGAGTGTGAGCACATTGGGGTCTTATTCTATTGGACAATTCAGTCTTGCTCATCTGCAGGTCTGTATGATACAAACCGACTAGGTTCAATTTGCATTTCCCATAATCTATAAGTAACCATTGTGGTGACTGCATACAACCAAGGTAAGTTTGTGGGTATGCCGCTATCTTAAGTGATGGTTCTGACAATAGATCACAGTTACGCCTGTAATGCTTATGGGGTCCCAAGACCATTTTCAGATTGTATATTTGATATATGGTGCTCACACATTTGGCATATATAACAGTAAATAATAATGTATAGCCTATTACCAGTCGACTGGTAAATGTGTTTCAAGTTGAGGGATTTTCAAATGTGATGCCCATAAAAAATAGACCAAGTACAGGAGTTGGAACTTTCTGACCCGCCCCTACTGGAAATCTGTGAAAAAGAGCTGCATGGCTCATCGGATTTCTCCTGGATAAAAAAATAGTCTGATTCTGAATGCTGCTTAGCATTAGCAATGTTTATATCCATTAATGTCAAATCTTCACAAAATTCATTTTTTTTATTTTACTGTCTTTCATCAATGCAGTAAAATGGCACATTAATTTGATCTTTGTACATTTATAGTAGCAGCGCCTGTAGATGGCAGCATGTGCAAGGAGTATAACGTGATTTTTCAATGTCACAGCAAGACAAAACCTATCATTAAAAAAGCTAATAAAGTTTTATTTTACTTTGTCAGAGCCATTAAGGTGTGAGAACTATTTTGCAATGCTTGCCTGACCAGGATAATATTAACAGCAGTTACCAAGTGAGTATAGAAGATTTATTGCCTGTCTTCAGTGACACATTAATGCTTTGCCGAAACATTGTGAATTCTTTTAAACATTTAGAACAAAATGTGGCTTTCTAACAGAGTGAAGAAAAACCAGATGTTAGGACAATATGTTTGTCGTTTTTATCCATATACTAGCTTGTTATTCCATCCTAGGACGGAAGCTGTAATATTTAATATGTAAATTAACGTTTTATTGTGTGATTGATAATTTTATTAGGAAATGTATCACATAAAGAACATTTTCTTAACTTATTACCGTAAATGAAATTTAGGACTGTGGAAGATTTCTCGGTATACGATATTTGGACTAGTAAAGTAGACTTACCTTTTGTGAGACGTGCCGAAGAAATAAATTAAGGCACCAAATGCACTGTGATACGGCGTAGAATATATTTATTTCCTTAACTTTCTATAAGATACGTAAAATCAAAAGCGAATTTGCGTAAAAAATTATCATAGCCGCTCGACCTTCTGCTTTAGTAAAACAATCCAGGCACACATAAATAATAGCGAGGGGGGTGGGGGCGCATGTGGAGTGACGTCACATGCGGGACTCGCACACACAGCCTTTTTTGGCTTATATTAGTTGCTGTGTAGATTTAGTTATTAGCTTTACTTTCCATAAAGAAAGCTCAACATAATGAGGGAGCTGGTCGATGTGTAGTGACGTCACGTGCATTACATACAGACATTCTTGGCTCATATTATTAAATGGATTACCTTTATAAGATTCATACATTTTCTAAGAATCAGTGGCAGTACAGAAACTGAAAAGATCAGTCTTGTGCATGTAATATAATTTAGATATCATATAGCGTTTTTTAATATTATAATTAGGATTATAACAATGCTTTGATTGTGATGAAATAAAAAAAAGATGTAGCCTAAAATTACATATGTAAAATATTACTTGTTATTTCTATATACTACACATAATCCCTGTAGCCATAAGTGGCCACTTCATTCATCACATTGTAAAAAAAATTATTGAATCCAAGCGTGAACCTAAATAACTAGGGGATATGAATATTGGATGTACAATAAACACTACACATTTTAGACAATTAAGTATAGCTAATTATCGGCTTACATTTAAGCCATGTATTTTTACTAAGCTTATAATATAATGAGTTCTGTAATGCAAAGGGTGACTGCAGTTTGTTTAAAATAATTCTATGTGTAAGTCACTAAATATATCTAATTACATGTTCCCAAAAATATTTTGAACATCCCTGATATATTACATTGTATATCATGAATCGGAATAGTATTTTAATTCACTGCCTGTACTGTTCAGCTTAAGCAAAGCTCTTAATCATCATGTTCTGTGTATATGCTTAAAGAACACCCTTCTCAGCTACACTCAACCAGATTTGTAACCGGTATCCACTTTGGACACGATTAGTTGATTTCATATAGTCCAAGGGTCGGCTACCTGCGGCTCCGAAGCAGGGCTGCTGCTTCGTGACGTTGTTTATTAAGGACCACCACAGTGTCATATTCACAACGTGCATTGCGGCTCTTGAAATATTTTTTTACTGAATTCGATCTAGTCTGTATTGTGATTGATTGAAAGTGGAGTGAGCTTTAAATGTTCGTGTAAGTAGTGCACAGTAAACAACTACGGAATGTCACTTCCATTACGGTAGTGGGCAAAGTTGCGTGCCTGTGACCCGGGTCCTTAGGCAGAACATGGTGACACCCTTGAAAAATGACACTGCATCACAACGCTTATGATTTACCATGCCAGTGCTGTCACATGATGCGGCTTTCTGTCACGCCAACGCTGCAATTCGTCCGATCGCTACGTTTTTGGCACATGGAGAACTTGAATAACTTGGTGGGCACTTTGCTTTCACAAGTCAATTAAATGATTATCAAGGTGCACGCTAAATACAGGCTCTGGTTTATCCCTAGGTCATTAAATAGGTAGCTGGGTGGTCGAATGGGCATCATCCTCCATTAATAGAGATTGAGGATCTGCAATTTCTTTTTTCATCTCTGCTATCTCGATGATGTGTTGTGAATTACAAATTACTGTTTTTGTCTGTCCACGAAGAAAACATTGAGCCTTCTGCTTTTTGTTCCTTTTCACAGATATATGTAATGATAATAATCTTTAAAAAAAAATCCAAACTTCCAGTGTATGCCCGTGCTGTGGCCAAATTTGTGAATAAAGTATGTGTCCACCAGGGGAGAATGTTGCCACTTTTAGACAGCACTTCATATGCAGTCAAACAACTACCCAGTTGAGTATAAAGGTATTTAGTACATGAATGTGGTTATGACATTTGTTATGAGCTTTCAGAAGTAGAGCAGATATGCAGTGGTTAGCACACTACACTAAGAACTGCCTTAGTTCGATTCCCAGCCACTGCTAATATCATTGGTAATGCCTGAACCAGTTTTGGGTCCCACCCTTCACCAACCCACACTAACTAGCATGGTGGAGTACATAAAACATCTTACATGACTAACTTCGGCATCCATAATTTGCTAAGAGATATTTGAGTAAGCCTATAAAACCTGCAGTTTGGCATTTTTATTTTACCAGTTTGGCCACTGCTTAGAGAAAGCTGTTTTTCTTGCTTTACGAGTATTATCTTTCATATGAACATACTGAAAATATATGCTTGAAACAATAAACCATTGCTGTTAAGGAGGTGACCAGGTGGCTCTCCGATGTCAGGGTGCCAAGCTGGCGCTGCTGAGAATCCACGGTTTGATCGGGCAGCGGCTCACGAGTCAACCAGGGTCTCTGCCGCCAGCAATTAAACCGGGGTCTCTACCCTCGTGAGTTGTTGGTCTCTGCCCGGACACAATGACCGTACAAAATACGTACAAATAAATATGGTTTTGCACTTAATCAGGCTAAAATCCAGGTCTATTACTTTATATGTATATTGGTGTTTCTGTCATGCGACAAAATATAGCCGGGCAGGTGAGGAAGTGTTGCCCCTGAGTTGCACTTGAGATTTTAAAAGCAGTTTTGTGATATCTCCTTCTGTGGACTGTTCTCTAGCATGGGATACCAATAGCACAAGTGGGATAAAATATTGGAAAAGACAACAAAACATGGTCATGACTCTGTGGTTGCCAGGCCCCCCACGTTTGCATTATTAGTGTTTTTTATGTATTTTCTTTCCACTAAGTTACACCATTTGTATTTATACTTGAAATGCTAACGTATGAATGATGCATATAAATTATTGCCCGTTATAATCGTACATTTATTGGTTTTATGACAAAGGGAAATATTATTTAACATGTAAATGTATGGATTAGTTGTGTATTTGTGTACCATTAATTTAACACTTTAAAAAATAACCGGGTACTGTACTGTAATCATTAACGCTCAGCAATTCCTGCAGGAATCGTCTTAGAATCCTACAATGTTTTGGTTGGAAATGCATCCAGGAAACTCAACATCTCTGCTATGGGGGAATCCATGCTATCTCCATTCTCTTGACTCATTTGTGCTCAGTTATAACTCTATCTTGTGGTTATCCTTAGAATCGCCTCAATGATTGCATTCATTTGAATAGAGATTCAGGAATCTCCATTGAATTTAATCGGTATTATTTGACAACCTAGCAGTTATATATAGGACCCCAAATAATTTCAGTGGTAACTCCGATCGTTTTTTGTATGTATGTTCAACTTATTTCGCAGAGAAGTCCAACATACATTATGCACCATTCTTAGGCGGTCGAAGAATCCCATTCTTTTGGATCGAAATTCAGTAATCACTTTTGAATGAGACCCTTGGACTGCCTTGGAATTTTTCACAGCATTTCTATTTTGAATATCAATTCCTTGGTATCCACTCAAATGATTCAATTCTTGATTATGAGATTCACCACTAGATGGCATACTTTGGCAATTTCTTATCGAAATCCTGGCAATTCCGCCCATCTCAGGAACCTATTCAGAGTCGCATGATAATTTGTTGGGATCGCTCAGAACTAATAATCATATTAGTTGTATGGTTTTATTCTGTTACCCCATTACATTCCTAAGTTATGTTTGCAGTGCATTCTTTTGACTGCCAAAGTACGACACAATCGGTTTACGTGTAGACTGCGTTGGGAATGCCTCTTTCTCTCGCCTTAGCGAAATTCCAACAGAAAGTAATTTTCAAAAGCTCGCAGCCCACGTACTTTTTTTACTTGATTAATCCCCATTTAATTTGGATTTTTCTATAAATCCTTCACTCAGACATGTAAGAATGTACTCCAGTGTTCTGCAATTCGGTACGACATGCACAAAGTGGGTGAAGTTTAAGTAAGTTACGTTTTGTTCCAAGGTTACCATGGATGCAGAGTTACACTCATATGTCTAACAAGTATCGAATTAGCTATGAAGAAACTTCGGTTTTACTGGAATTGTTATTTTTTCAGTAAATCATGGTATGAGTTTGGTGTATCACAGTGTTGTAGTAAGTATAATATAGGCGTATCAATACTTGATGGTTAAATGAACTAGTTTACGTTTTAAATTCCTTATGCCATGTTGAACTTCTTTCACACCGTATGTAGCTAACCATGCTAATTGGAGGTGCGAATTACATGTATATTCATAAATATCTAAACAACAACTTAATATACAATACTTTGAGAACCTTTTTCCTGAACGTGCCATCAATTATATGTTCAAATCTATTCACCTTTTAATAAATGTGAATTGCCATTCTCACTGAAAATGTTAGTTCTAATGGTGTGGCATGTTGGTGAGCCCCTTTGAAGGCAAAACACATCCACGGATTTAGGCTCATGAATGTCCGGTGCTTTTTTTGTACACTTGTCAACAGAACATCTAAGCCACATTTGTCAGCTCATAAAAAATATCTTTCTCTTTTTAAATGTTTTGTTTTGACTTCATAAGTAGTATTAACTTATAGTAGTATAAACTTACACTACTTATACAAGTAGTATAAACATGTTTTTTATAATTACATACAGTTCTAAACCAAGTAACAAGGTTTTCTTGTGCAGTATACTTCAACTTAAAAAATAATAGCAAATTAGGTAATGCGGATCATTTAAAAACTTTGTATTTTGAAATGCATTGCACAAGCAACGTGATAAATTGCTGTCTAAAAAGAGAAAGTGGTTAGGGAAAATGATCATGGAAAGTATCCTTTTGATCAACTTGTTCGATAACAATTTTCATTATTCTATACACGCCAATGTGTTTTTTTAAAGGACAGTGTGTATGGTTGACTCCCATCCCCGAGAAATCCACTTCAAGTGCTCCACTGTTTAGATTTCTGACCTCCGAGTGAATGCTTGACATGATTGCCGATGCACCACGATGTTTGCGGACAGCTTCGGGAACATGATGTGCAAGGAGAGGAGGGAGGCGGTGAGCCGGGAGGACCTGGCCAGGGCCACTCTCGTCACCATCACCAACAACATCGGCTCCATCGCACGCATGTGCGCCCTCAACGAGGTAAACCCTGACCTTAAAACGTGGCTTTTCGTGGTCAGTACAAAGATCTATATTTGCTTTTGGGTTGAAGTATTACTATTTAAATAAATGAAATATTTTACCAGGTAAGGCTCACTGAGCTGTATAGCTCATTTTCAGAAGTGACCTGGCCACAAATGTGGAGGGAAACACCGGAGGACCCGGAGAAAAAATTACGCAATCACGGGCAGAACATTTAAACTGCAAATATACAGGCGTCAGGGTCGGGATCGAACCCATGACCTGTATACCAGGCGAGGTAGTTAACATCTCGCCATCACAGATTAGGCGTCGTGGTAGTTTTATGCCTAAAATCTTGTCATATTTAACCCTCCACCATCCAAAAAGATTGTCACGTGCGAATGTATGATATCATTTTGACCAATAAAGCTCCTCATCGGTGGCTTAAGACACTTTGTGACTGAAAAACCCTTCACAGAGTTTAGATTTTTACATGAAACTTGAGTAATCTCTATTTCAATTATGACCATCCTTGAGCAATAAATTAGGCCTTTTTTCATTCTTCTGTCAACCTCTTCTCAATGGAAGGTGACTCTTTCTATACTGCTATTCCTGCTGTTTGCTCGGTGATCCCCGCCATCAGACTGCTCAATTTTGGTCGTCAACGGAAACAGTGGGCAGCACTTGGCCGGATCTATTCCATCCACAGAAGATGTGGATACCTAATGCACAAGTGCAAAATCTAAGTCTTTCTTGTGTGCAACTGCAGCTATACGAACTACAACCCATGGGCCGTGTAGCTTTGGCTCAGCCTGAATGTAAATTTTAAGGCGGTGTATCTGCACTCCTCCAGCTCCCAAACAAAGAAATGAAATGGATAAATCATTGACAACTGAGTATCTATTAGTTACCCTTCATAGGCCACGTGAAAAAAAGAAGACCCCCATTGTCTGGAACTCACTCCCTCTGTTCATACACAATGCTGACTTGACCACCCCCTGTTGAATTCCAGACTTAGTACTTTATAACTCTAACTATAACTGACCATTTTCTTAATTTCCACCTTCTCAGCACTAAAATCTTATTTCCCTGTAGCCTACTCTTCCTAACCTCCCCTTTTCAAAAAAGTTGAACCATAGACTTTCTTACTTAATGATTAGCTGCTGTAGATAATTAACATTGTATTGTTAGTTTTCACATAAACAGATGCCACAGATGCCAAACACAGTGTGCAGAGTGTGTTGTACTCATAGTTTATAGGAGGCAAGAGCACTGACTGGTAAGCTACTCAGCCACTCGAAAACAACTACAAATAAAAACAAATAACAAGTTTGCAGCAAAGTTACATTTGTAACATGAAGACCTTGTTTCTCATGCAGCCTGCTCTGGCTAGCCACTTCAATGAAGTTCTCTTTTAACATGTGTTTATATAACCTCTTGACATAACTGCCAATAATTAACATTGGTCATAAAAAATCAGACCATAAGCATATTCCAGATCCATTGTGGAACATAATACACCGGTACAGACTATTTGTGTGTGCACCGTTTCTTTTGGATATTCTCAATGTCAGCATGATGTCATATTACAACACACTGGGGTGACGTTCCATGTGCTTTGTAATGCTGTCCTACAGGTTAATACACTCAGTATCAGCTGAGGCTGCAAATGCAGTCTGTGTTTCTACATCATTGTCAATACAGTCTCTGAAGTTTCACGGTGTAAATCTAGCAGGCCATTGCATCATACTTTTGGTAAGCAGTGTCGAACAGGAATAATTCATTTGCAGTTGGAAAGAAATTATCCATCTATTTTCGACCCAAGATAACATGTATCGAATAGCTTACCCAAAAGTATATTTTTTAATGCGGTATATATGCTGCATTTAATATACACTTTTTAATTGACTGAAGGCCATAATTCCAGGGTGTGGGGGAGGTGTTGGAAGGGGGGGTTTGGGTTTAAAGGGGGTATACGGGGGGTGAGGGGGGGGCACTCCAGGGATGGGGAGGTGGGGATGTTGGGGGTGGGTGACCATCGTTCTACGATGAGTACTTCCACGCGCACAAGACATAACAATTTCGATTTAAAGCTTTCGTGACTGCAGGGATTCATCTTCTTGGTTCTTTCGGTAAAGTCACGTAGAAGGGAAGTAATAAAATAATAAAAATAAAACATAATAAAACAATTCTCACGACGTTTCGGCCACAACGCAAGCAGCCGTCCTCAGGTGAAAACCAGGTCCGTCGAGGCGACAGAGTCTGAATGAAACAGCACACGAGCTTGGAGCATATATATAAGCTGGGCGCATTGACAAAGGAATTTGCATATCAAAAGGAATTTAGCATTTCCATAAATATGCTAAATTCCTTTTGATATGCAAATTCCTTTGTCAATGCGCCCGCTTATATATATGCTCCAAGCTCGTGTGCTGTTTCATTCAGACTCTGTCGCCTCGACGGACCTGGTTTTCACCTGAGGACGGCTGCTTGCGTTGTGGCCGAAACGTCGTGAGAATTGTTTTATTATGTTTATTTTTATTATTTTATTACTTCCCTTCTACGTGACTTTACCGAAAGAACCAAGAAGAAGAAGACATAACAAGAATACAAAATTAACTCGCATTTACTACAATGGAAATAACACTGTTCAACAATGTATTCGCCACGCATTATCGATACTATGCATTGAATTATCAGAGGCTTGAATCATTTCAGACTGTATTTTTCAGGTCTCTCACAGTGAGCTGGGCAGTTTACCCTGTTCTCTCGGCCTCTTTACAGTGCTATCTTGTCACCTCAATCAAGCAGCATTGTACAGGGCTATGAGAGAGCAAGGGGAGCTCTTCAAATCATTAAAGGCTTCAGCTCGTAAAATGCATCTCCACATCCATATGTACATCTTCGTAGACCTTGTAGTATCCTGCTTTAAGAAGCATTCTATTCTACAAATACTGTGTGTATAAGAATGTTTCATTGCATGTGTTGCACTGACCCCCATGTAAAACACCACCATGTGCAATATAGCGAGGTTTACATGGTCAGTTCTGCACATGCACATTGATAACAAAATACATACTCCAGTTTTTCCCTTTTGTTAAGCATTACTCAGGGTGTGCATTTAAATCCAACTTATTTCCTATTCCTACCACGTAGGTTTTCACGGTTGTGCTGTGTTGTTCAGCAGTCCATAGAGCAAAACGTTGGACATTTTGCAGTACAACGTGAAAGCACATCGGAGAGAGAGCTGTTGCTGTGCTGCTGGTTTCCCATTGTTACTGCCCAGTTAATTAGCTTGCTTCATTCAACAATTTGTGTAACACTTGAAAAAGGAAAAAAAAACGATTCATCAGGCTGCATTGTGTTTTTTACTTCACAAAACAACTTGATCATTCGATCTGGCCATGGTATTAATAAACATTTTTAACACTGAACCTATTTCAATCGCAAATCAGCTTTGCCTTCCAACAGAGCGACACAAAAATGTGATGTGTTTTGAAAACGTAAGATTGCTGCGCATTTTTTTTATAAATGTGCCACAATTATTTTGCTAAGTTTTAAAATAATTTGAGATTAGCCATCTGGATGTAATTTGGTCATACTGATGACCATACTCTGATATGTTAATCGAGATGCCAGCATTGTTGCCCCTGCTATTCATCAAAGAGTTTAATGGGATGAATAATAATAATAATGATGTCAAGATGGCATGCACAGCATATGTCTTATTGATTTCATCCCAAGGTAGCAGTGTCTCCAAAAACCTCAATGCAATGTTTTTAGAAGTCTGGCCAAAACATTAACTTAAGCTAAAGATCTAAAGTTTAAAAGGCATGTTTATTGTAGAAATTGTAATAATTAATGTCCCAAAAATGTTCGTATTCTGAGCAGCAAGCTGGCTGGGATCATTGTTTATGATAAAATTGCTATTGGACAAACAAAACGAATCAATGTGGTTGATTTGGAAAAAGTGCAAGGTGGGTTAGATGACACTTGGAAGCTAGCTGTTCAGAGGGTGGTGTGAAATACAGTATGCATTCAAATGGATGTTTCAAACTCTTTAACTCTATGCTCATATCTGAGGTATGCTATTGTGCAGTTCTTACTCTAAGAAGTACATCTATAGTCCTACTCGTGTTCATTGTCTGCATAATTTGTGTCTGCAATCGGAATATCCTTCCACCTAATGAAATGTCCTGCTGAGTGCAGGAAGTGTACTTGTCCTCGTTCCAAGAATGGAGGCATTGAATCACGAGCCCCTTTGGTTTCACCGGATGCTAACTTTGGTAGTGGTATTGGCTCGCCAAACTGTTTTGACCAATTATACTTGTGTAACACTGCCACATTAGTGTAAGGAAGTTGAACATTGGGACTTTCTTCCAGTTTTGATGGTTAACATTACAGACTAAATAAATATGTATTCCCATTCGAATGTACACAGTAAATAATTGCGCCATTGTAGTTGAATTTCTTATTTTCTTATAAAACAATTACGTAATTTTGTTGATCTTTCCTTTGCTTATCGTCACAATAAACCGAGCTCCTTGGCGTGCCATTTTTCTCCCCTTGACGTTGGGCGTGTGGAATGCGAACAGAAAATCGATCGGGTGGTGTTTGTCGGAAACTTCCTGCGAGTGAACACGCTGTCCATGAAGCTCCTGGCCTATGCCATGGACTACTGGTCCAAGGGCCAGCTCAAAGCACTGTTCCTGGAGCATGAGGTGAGTGCCTTCATCCTACATTCATAAACAGGGCAATGGCTTTCTTTAAAGATGTTTTAAGTCATTCCCGTTAAAAGTAGACAGGACCAAAGTACGAAAAATGCCAATGACACCCACATCCTTTGGTAGTTGGTGATGTCACGGCAGGTAGTTAAAGCGCAGAGTCAGATGAAGCAGCCTCACTCACTTGTTGAGTTCTCACTACCTGATAAAGCTCGAAGCAGAGCGAACCAGGAAATTTTGATGTTAAATTCAGTCATGAAAAGTCTCAAGCCTCCGGTTCGCTTTATTGGTCAGAATATGATCAACACATTGACATGTCTAAATATTGCATTTGTGAACAACATGGCAACCTTGTAAGGTGGTGGAGGGTTAGTGACAATAATTTTTGCATAAAACTACCATGTGGCCAAACCCCAAAAAAACATGGATCAAGACAAGTCAAGCAGGGAACTTCACATGGGTGACAGCAAAAAGCAGTGAAATTAAATCTCCTGTCATCTTTCCCTAATGGGATACATACGTTTGATATACCAATAAATATAACTCAATATTTTTTATTCTTTGTGCCTTAACATTTTAACACGTTAATCATTCTAAACACATCCAAATTGTCCTTTGGGAATTGTAATTTTGTTGAAAAATTTGGCCAATGTTTTGAGAATACTTTGCAATAATTTTAATCGCCATTCAGTTTTGATCAATATAATAACCAGGGGAGATCTACGCATGAAGTATCAGCAACAGCCCTAAATGGATCCCTGGCATACTTCCAGATCACCGCTCACCATGGTCATATGCTTGACTCCACCTACCGTGTCTCTTAGCCAAGAGCTTATGTCACTTATGCCATTTTTTAAATGGGTTCCCTGATTTTAAATTTTAATATCAATGCATACCTTTGGCATGGATGAATAGATATCGGGATAAAGTATTTAGCATCCAGTCGAGGCAATACTGCCAGCAGTGGCATTAACGCAAGGAAACTTCACGTGAAATATTAAATTGTCACGATTCTCACATTCACCCATCACACAGGCGGCAATGTAGCAGATTTGGTATTTGCAGATAACCGGCTTAAATGAGCATTGTACTATAAGACTACATAGTGGATAGTTTTGTAAATTGTAATTACCGACCTACCTTGTGAATCTGAACACAACATTTCTTTTTCAGAGTTAATATGTCTAAATATAAATGCATTTTAATCATGTTATTATGTTAAAGCCAGGGAAAATGTGTTATTTTATAATTATTTTCAGAATATTGTGTTTTGTTTATTAATCAAGCATTACGTAAAATGGTTACCTATTCGGTGTTGTTGCAGCTGCTGTAAAGGGCAGTCTTGTCATTAAAACAACAGCATGTAATGTCGGTATTCAGTCAATCCCACATGTGCCATGTTTATTTAGTTAAACATATTCTCAAGTTACTTTAAATAAAGGTCAGCATTCATACATTTTTTTCTGGTTATTGTGTTTTTTTCGTCATGGTAAATTCAAAGGGAATTTATGGCAGCATGATTCATACATCCAGTGATATTTTTATATTAAAATGCATGACTAATGTGCACCAATACAGTTAACATCACAAAGCGAATCTAATTGTCATACGATATTGCGTTTTTTGTAAAAAATATCAATTAGACGGTAGTTTGAATTTGTATTCTTAGGTTTTTCGGTTAAGTCACGTAAGTAAAACATCAAAATAAAAATAAAATAAAAAATCACGACGTTTCGGAGGCAACACAAGTCTCCGTCATCAGGTGGGACCGTCACAGCCGAATTAGCTGCATCAAGTGAAGCAATGATTCAAGATGTAATCCCTTATAAGCAAGTTGAAGGGAGGTGGAGAGGGGGGTGGGAGAGCTTATCAGACTGTGGTAGCCAATGAATGGAAACGTATCGGGAGGGAGGAGGAGCGGTGATCAAAGACTGCACGCAGTGCTCAACACAATGAATGGAAACGTATCGGGAGGGAGGAGGAGCGGCGATCAAAGACTGCACGCAGCGCTCAGCACAATGAATGGAGACGTGTCGGGACGGAGGGTGAGCGGGTGATCACCCTCCGTCCGACACGTTTCCATTCATTGTGTTGAGCACTGCGTGCAGTCTTTGATCGCCGCTCCTCCTCCCTCCCGATACGTTTCCATTCATTGGCTACCACAGTCTGATAAGCTCTCCACCCCCCCTCTCCACCTCCCTTCAACTTGCTTATAAGGGATTACATCTTGAATCATTGCTTCACTTGATGCAGCTAATTCGGCTGTGACGGTCCCACCTGATGACGGAGACTTGTGTTGCCTCCGAAACGTCGTGATTTTTATTTTATTTTATTTTTATTTTGATGTTTTACTTACGTGACTTAACCGAAAAACCTAAGAATATTTGAACAAATATTGTGCCTGCTTACAAAACAATGAGATTTAAACATGTATGTCAAATATACTTATTTTATTATAAACCCCTGTGTCAATAAATAATCGTGAACCAAATCAAATGTAGGCTGCCTCTGAGCTCCTTACTGGGCTCATGGAAGGGAGCGGAGTAGCCCTGCAACCGCACTCCGTGCCACTGCTGGTGTGGGGCATCCGCCAGAGGCAGCGCTTGGGACTCGCCACTCCCCAGTGTATTTTGCCTACTCTTCCATGCATCGCAAGCGTCTTGGAGAGGTGAGAGTAACCGCACTTTACCCCACTACACGCGACCAGCCGATGGACTGTGGTGAACCCATTTACACTGCTGCTGGGGCCGGGGGAGGAGTTGTTTCTGAAACGTACTCATTGGTGTGCTGGAAAGAGGCATTTCAGAAGGAAAACGTTAAACATTGACGTCCTTGCTTCGTAATATGAAGCAGAGCAGAACACACATACTCTTTGGTTCTTTCGGTAAAGTCACGTAGGTATAAAATAAAATAAATCACGACGTTTCGGTCGCAACACAAGCATCCGTCATCAGGTGAGAAAGCATTTATTTTATTTTATACCTATGTGACTTTACCGAAGGAACCAAAGAGTATGGATTCCTGCAGTCACGAAAGCTTAAAATCAAGACAGAACACACATCTCAAAGTTTAACTGTCATCCATTCATTTATGCAAGGAGAAGGCTAAATCTGGAATCAGAGACATTTTCATGAGATGACCTGCAAGATTATTTTAGTGGCTACCTTACTTTTTAAATCTAAAATAGCTATAAATCTTATTGAAAACTCAAGAAGCCTTGTGCAATTCCTTCATCGATCTTTCAGGTACTTAAATGAATTTGGGTCACAAAGACACAACTGATGTAGGTGCACGCCTAGGCGCTTTGTTCCTGGGAGCGGGACATCCGTACGAAGCTTTGTGAATGGAGTAAGAGGGCTGCTGCCACGGTGTAATGGATAGCAGTACACCGTGCACTTGCAATGCAGAGGTCGCCAGATTATTTCGATCTCCAGGCACGGCACTGGAAACAAATTGATACATTTTGTAATTCCCCCAAATCTTTGCCCCAAACGGTACAAATGGTAAACATCACAGTTGATCGGCAGGTCGCGTGGTGGGGTAAAGTGTGAGTACTCCCACCTCTCCCAGGCCGTCTGTCCAGCGTGGCTGAGTAGGCCAAATAGCACCTGGAGAGGCTCTGTAAAGTTCCCTCGAATGGGAGATCTGACCGCTAGCGGTGGCATGAGCAAGCAATTGCAGGACTGCACCTTTATCTGATGAGAAGAAAATACTTTCGTCTGGAGCACACTGAACTGATGTCTGCAGCATCACCTCTCGAACGTCGCTGCATACTGTCACTGGGGTGACTGTGCTGCAATGCTTACTTTCTCAAAATAGAGCGTTGGACTCTTGCCAGAGAGCCTGTGGCTCATAGCCTAAGCGTGTATCTATAAGGAAGAGTGCACTTGTTCCCGTGTTGAAACTTCATTTAAATGTAGTTCTTCTAACATCTTGTCGAATACGGTATTTTCTTCATTGAGGAGAACTAGCAAGAGTCATCATCCTGCAGAGTGGCCAACCAAATCGGCAATGCACCACGCACATTAAATAGTTTTTTCCCCCCTGGGAGAGATAGGTCCCCGTGAATTTGGTCGTATTTTTTTTCCAAACGCTCATTAATTATGTTCACAAAAGACAGCCCGGGTTGTCATTTATGAGTAGATACACTCAGGCTTGTGATTATCGGGGAAGTCGCCGCCGCGTTGCTCACATTGTTAATGTATTTCGCCTCTACAATTAATTTCACTTTGGAGCCACTCCAATGTTTACCGTGTGGGTTATCAATCATCAGTTGTCTGGACAAGCCGTGACACACACCAGTTTCCTGGAAAACGACCCACGCACATCCTAAAACCACAATTGTAAAGCATGCCATTTACAATCATTAATTCAAGTCATTTAAACAAAAAATGTGAGTTACATTGATCCACTGCAGAGTTAAATAATGTGAAGGATGGATTTTGGACCTGAAGAATGTGTGGGGAGCAGGTTGCTTTTCTGAGAGACACCACCTGTGCCCATAATGCAC